GAGTCGAAGGTGAGAGTCATATTCTCTTAATTAGTTCACCATACCTCTCTCACCGCTCAGAGTTATTTGACTTTTTTCATGAAAAGCAGTAAAATGATTACTACTTTAACTATTAATAACTTTTCAACGAATGGCGAGCGACGGTTAAAACTTGTTGGAGGTCACTCAGGGTCACGACCTTGACAACATGTGTCAAGGTCAAGGTCATCGTAGGGTGGTCCGTTATAATGCATAATTACCGAATTATGTTTGCGAGGAAACGTATCAGGCAACAAATACTGAAAAATAAAGTAGCGAACGCATTGACTGATGCTATCTATACGTGTACGTTGAGCGTAAGCGTTGCAACATTCTGGCGGTTAGAAGATCTGTCGGAGAACGCTTCGAAGAACGAATACAACAAGATGTTTGGGAACTTTTCACGGCTCTAATGTCGACGTATTCCTAAATCGATGATGTATTAGAACTCGATTTGAAGCACGTAACATCTTGTTTAAATGCCAAATGTAATTACAGTGTAAATACGCTAGAAAAGAGTTGTTTGCTGATATTATCTATACAGTTGACATTAAAAAGGAAAAAGGTGTCACTCTGCAAACTTTGATTGATTTCGAATTTTTTAAATGGTAAACTATAAATGACAATTGAAAGAAGACAATGAAGGAATGTAAGGGTACCATTCTGAAAAAGAAAACCGTATTCGAGAGAATCGACCTTATACGTTTAGTAATACAGCTCAATTTGGGGAGATCCCGATTGATCACGGTTCTTGCGACTTATAAAAAAGAAGCAACACTGAATAGACAATTGCGTTCAAAACTAGTTGATGTGGTTGTTACACATTTAATGTCTATCTTCTGTGGTAAACACCAAGGGTAAAAGAATATTTTTGAAGCATAGTAATTTAGTTGATTTACTAGTAATTAATTAATTCATAATTTAATTTTAGGATATCTTTAAAAAACGAACATTTTGAGTTTATAGCAACACAAATTATAAAAATATTTCCTACTGAAAATATTAGTATTTATTATTGTCCACCTAAAACCGAAGGGCCTCAGCAAAAAATTTCCAAAGGAAAATTAGTTGATTCTTATAGAAATAAATTGCGAGATTGTCGAAAATGTGGAATTATAAGTAAAAACAGAAAAAATCCTATGACTCGCGCGCACGCGCGCGCGAATCAGAGGAAGATTCAGAGGAAGAAGATCCAGAGATTTCTCAAAGTACATACATATATATATATATATCCATATCTCTCTTCCAACACACACGCGCGCACGCACGCGCGCGAACGTTACACGTGTATGTTGGGAACAGGCAAAAAATCGGAATGGTATTACTCTAATGATTCTTTAAATACATTACACGTAAAGATTATAAATAAACATTTATTCTGTTTGTTGCCGGCGGCGAGAGCCTTCGATCAGGTTCCCCCGTTTTTTGAATATTTATATATGTGTGTGTGCGTGCGTATATGTGCTTGTACGTACCTATATATACAGTTAGACAATTTACATACACATAAACAATTTTACAGAAAAAAAGAAGTGTTTGACTCATTTAAATTGGCTAAGATTTAATACATCACCATGGTTTTTGGTACAAAATCATTAGAATAATTCGCGACTACTTAGACAAGACCATATTACAAAGTTACGTGGTAATGTTCATAAACTTTTTGAGGAATGGCCTGTTTTAAAGCAACCACTCGGATATACATTGGTAATTATCGTTGATAGATGTTTTTGAATTATCCTTTCTTATGAGTTATATACAAGTATCATTTACAATTTATTATTTATATTTAGAATTTTAGTAATAATTTTTTATAATTATATTTTAGAATAATTTTTTATAAATACATTTTTAATAAATATTATCTTAATGAATATAAAAAGAATATAAAATTTATATATTTATTTAAACAATATTTTACAAACAATATTTTATAAACAATATATTATATAAACAATATTTAAATAATATTTATACAATATTTTAAAAGAATGTAAAGAACTTTTTGTAGACAAATTTCGTATAAAATATTAAAGATAATATTCATATTTCTTCATTGCAAATGTTATTTTGTAAATATTACATGTTTATTTCAATTTGTAATATTATTTACAGTTGGAAATTGACTATATTTTTTCTTTTGAGGAAAATATAAATATTTTTACTGAGAGAGAGAGAATGGCCACAATTCTCACTTAAACTAGAAAAAGTCATACAAGAAAATGTTAAAGATAAGCATTATTATGCATTGTATAATGAAAGTACTTTAGATGCAATGTCAGAAGGTAAAGCAAAAAATATAAAAATTTTAAATAATACAAATATGTGT